CAGGAATGTAAGCTAAAGCTTCAAAAAGCTGAAGTCAAAGACCTGACAACCCCAAATTTGGTCCAGGAACACAGAAAACACCTCTTTATTCAGGAGCTGCACTCAAGGCTATTCCTTTCCAACTAATTCAGTAACCACCCTCTTAGTAGATGTACACCTTCCCCAATTCATTATTTCATGCAAAATAATTTGTTCATTTTTAGTTTTCTTTCACAATATGGATCCCAAACACAGAAAGGTGTGCCAAGACTACATGCCAGCCTGATTTATGAAACCACAGCTTGACAATCCCCTAGCTACGCACATTTATCACTAAGAGACCAGTAGGCAAGAAAAAAAACTCTTTAAAAGGCAACTCACTATGTCAGGGCTGGCAATAAAACAGCATAGGAGATAAACAATGTTTTTTAATTTTAACCTTAAAGTCTAGTACTGAATGCAAGAGCTTACAGAGAGTGGAGGCTGGATTTGCACGTTCATTTGTAAACCAGCAAAGCTACAGTTGCCCAACACTTTCGTCAACATAGTAAAAATTTCTCAGACACGATCACACCTTGTTGTGGTATCAGAAAATTTTTCACCCTGGGCTTTCAGTCTGAAAAATAAGTCTTTGAGCAAAGAATTGATCTAAATACTGATGAATACAGACATTATCTCGCAGATTTAAGAAACAGTTCTTTCCCTTATTCATCATTTGTTTCAGATGTTACAAAAACTATGTATTGGTAAACTTAAGGAGTGTAGTAATGATTTAAAAATGAATGCAGCATTAAAACTGAGGTCCCAGTAGCTAAGATAAAAGCTAGCAGTCATTCTAAATCTAGTCTTTGTTGAAACCAAAACATTCATATTTTCATTTGCCAGTGTCATACCTGTATCAAAGAACACTACAGTTATGCAGATAAGGGTAAAACGGTACTCACTAATTACTTCCCACTGTTAAATTTAAAGGGCAGTAAAAACAGTTTATAGTATAAAGGATGTTTTCTTTATAAACCACAGGACCAAGCAAGGCCTACTGCTCTGCAGTTATGGAGAATCATTTAGTAGAACTGATTTACATTTGACTGTATACTAATGTTGCATTCATTTGACACTTTCTTCATGTGCTTCTCACCAATTTGCTCACTGGGTTTTTAAAAAAAAAAAAAAAAAAAACAAAAGACAGACCTTCTGGGCAAATGACACAATGACTCATTAAACCCTTTTAGCCATGAAGGTGCTGTTAAACATTTATATGTCACTTGTTTAATGACATTTTCCACATCACTGTTTTTTCAGTGTAAGGCAGACATTTACCAGGGCTCTGGTTTGGTGCCACACATGCACCTGAACTTCCTGCTTATCTTATTAGCTCAGAAATTGTTACTGACATCACAACAGCAGCTATTTACATATACAGAATTAACAGTCTGTTCTGTTACTATTAACTCCCAATTTCAAACAAAAGAAGGTAAGTCATCTACTTGCTTTTTGAGAGTACAAATGATTGTACATGAAGCCAACAACATTGTGAAGTACCTCACACATCCTTGTAAATGTTAAATGGAAGTGTACTAGATGCTGAATAAAAGCTAATTTAACTGAAGCATCAGACATATTTATCTTCTGTAATTCAATTGCATTTTATTGTCCACTGCAGACAAACTTAGTTTTCCTATATGTATTCAGATCACAGACTTAATGAAGCAAAATAACCATGCTTAGTAACAAATTCTCTTTCAACTGCTTTATATTGCAGTCTTAGGTTTCTCATTTTCTTCAGTTGTGTTCTTTTTCTAGTCTCATAATAGTTTGAGAAAAAGTCATATTCCAAAAGCAAAGATTTAACCTGATTAGCTTCAGGCAAAAGTTGTCAAGGCACATAATGGTCCTTCTGAGCACCTATTTTACTGTGGCTTGGAGTTGTGTTTGGTTTTCTGTTTTCAGTGTTCACAAACTAATTAGTTAAGTGGAAATTAAACTTCTGCTGGCATGTATGTGGGTTCAAATAAAGGCACAAAACATGCAGGGGTGAGGCATGTAAAAGGTTCCTAAACCTCCTTCCTTCTTGCTTATTTTCTTTAGAGTAAAAAAAAAAAAAGCCCATTGCTTTACTTAAATTTAGTTAAATCGGAAGCATTTCAAGACCAACATTTTTTCCTGTCTGTGGTTAACAACATACCTAACTTATTTTACTAACACATGCAAAACTGAAGATGCTGCAACATGAAACAGTTCATTTCTAGTCTGAAGTGCTAAGACTTTATACTATTAAGATATGAGTAAGTACATGGATGTGAGTAGGTATGAGTGAGGTGGGATGAGAGAAAGGGAACAGGAGGGCCAAGAGAGAGAAAGAACACACACACACATTACAATCCTAAAGCAGCACAGTCTCCTTCAAAAAGGGAACATTTCAATACCCTTCAACAATACCCTTCAAAAAGCTATTGTTTTAAAAACTTAAAAAACCAAGGGAGATGAAAGGATGTACAAAAAGTTTCCCCTCCAGACACATTTTTAGTTAATAATTTTCAAGACAACACAAAGTTGCAAAAGAAGAGACCACAAAACTTCAGGTCAACCCTTCCAGCAAGCGTATCAAAGAAGGGAATGGCTGTAAATTTGATACAGTACTACCACAGTAAGATTGCAGTTTTTCTCCAGCTCCAACTTTAACTCAATACAAGATCAGTCATCAGTGAAATTAAGCTTTCTGTCCCATCATTTTCTGTCATCCTTATAAAGTGTGTGGACCATAGCAAGTTTCAAATGAGGAGGTCCAGCCTCCTGAACAGTTCCACTTGACTTTCATCATGTAACTTGACTGACAGAGTAGAATGCCATTAAACACTAAACAGTGAAGTAAACTCTCTGAACATAAACTGTCTGATATGCCTTTCTTACAATAAGGAAATGACATTTGTACCCAAAGCAAGAGGGTCACGAGTATTTCTACTACCTGCAGTCCTGAGGACCAAAGCAAAAACTCCCAATATGTATTTTCTGTAGTGAAGTAATCTAATCAAACCACAGGAAAATTCCAGTGTAAATTAAACCCAAGAGCAAACAAAGAAACCTTTTCTACCTTGGCATGTCATGATTTCTGTGCAAGATCTTTGGTTTGACATCATTTCATTTAGAAGTACATCAGATATTTTATTTTGGAAACTGTAAGAAAGTTCACCATCATTTTGAAAACTTTATTTTCTCTTACCTAATGATTTTACACCTAGCATTACACTATAAGATTTTTATTTTACACCTAAAGAGTACTTACATAAAAAAAATATTGTTTCTTTTGTGCATGTTGTTTTTCCTCTAAAATACTATGGAGTTATCAATCAGTGAAAACTGACTGCAACTAGCTACAGGCTCCAGCAGTATGCGTCAGTCCCTTTCAAGAGTCAAAGTAAAATTCACAAAAGAAGAGGAACTCTTCAGTGTTTTAGTCAAAAATTCCAACAGCTGCACCCACTGAGTCACTCAAACGGATCGACTGTATGTTGTTGTACCCAATTTAAGTATCACCACATACAGCATCTAACAATCAATGTTTCCCAAAATTATTCAAGTGGCAATGTATCAGAAAAGAGTTTGGCTTCAAAGCCTAGAGAATCAAATTTGAAATAACTAGCTGGATCAGTAAAGCACTTTTGTTCATCTAGAATGTCAGAAATTTTGTATGAGTAAGACTACCATGGAGGGGAGGCTTCTGAGCAGGACTTTAAAGAGATCGTAACATCCCCTAGAATTTGCAAAAAACACTTAAGCACTGTTTCCTCCACTTACCTTTGACCAAATGGTACTTAGCTAGTATTTTGTAGTACATAGCTACATTTCGTTAGAACTGTTCATACAGCGTACAGGGCTCAGTCCTGTAAGTTTCTGCACATCCTATTAGATGGGTACTTCACTAAGTGTTACCTCAATGAATCTTCAAGTAAGTTGGAAATACCCGTGCACCAGCAGCTGGTTTCCAAGCACTACTATGTTAGGACAAATACATGTAACTTGTTAGTTATTCTAGTTCAACTCTGCAAGCAGAGTCAGATGGAAATAGCCAGACTGAAATTTTATGAAAGCCATGCACACTTTTTCATCAAACTTCCCACAGAATAGGGAAGACCAGTATCTGTGGATACTCACTGTCTCTCTAACTTCCATAACAGGAAAACATATTTATACTTGCTTACCCTCTTGATCTCAGAGCTAAACAATTTCTATTTAAATCAGTACAGAAGTCCAACAGATTTGAAATCAGAGAATTTTATGCCACTGGCGTTAATCTACCAGCATTTGCATGAAGGCAGTGTGTTACTGCCCTGCCGTTTCCCAAGCAAACTTTGTGGCTCACAGCACCCCTCGCCCAGTCAGTCAGCAGTTAGGTTCCAGGTGTCACTCCAGAGCTCTCCTTGTGCCTCTGGAGTAGCAACAGTTTGGAAAACACTGCCACCTCACCATACAGTCTCTTTGCCTCTAGGTACACCCAACTCAGTTAAGATTGTATTGACCAGCAAGACTCACAGCACTGGCCAAAGCAGAAAGGTAAAATTGATGATTACCTTTCCCAAAGAACAAGGCACAAAGACCTCCAGCAGTAGTTAAAACAGTTCAATGGGAACTGACTATGTTTCTCACAGAGCTAACAGTCTACTGACACTTGAGATTATTTAAACAAAAATGTAAGCCAGAACACAAAATAAAGCATATAACATGATTTAGTGGTCAATAACAAGAGTGAAGGTGAATGGAAGAGAGCTACATAAAATAACAGAAAAAATTGCCACAAGGTCACTGAAGTGACTGCTAGAAAACTGCTGATCCCTGTTTAAATGGCCAAGAGGATGATCTACAGATCATAACAGAACCTACAAATCCAGCTGCAGCAATACATTTAGCTTTCCTTCTCCCATTTTTATGTATGACACAGACTACCATCTGCTGGACAAAGTGCTGAACTAATCCAATAACACAGAAGGGTTTTGTCGTGAGAACCCCTTTACCATCTTGTTTACCTGAGGCAGATGCAAAACAACCTGGGATGTGTGGAGACCATATAGTGCTGTAAATGACCCCTTCGTGGCCTTTAAAAGTGCATAATGACTTCCCCACAGCTGGATCCCACTGAATAAAGTAAAAAGAAAACTGTTGAGGTACACATTCAGTAAGAAAAGAAAGGGTTTCATACATAAAAAAACTTTATACATAAAGGACCAAATGAACTTCTTTTTACCATGTATCATGAAAAGCATTTGTATACTTAAACTGGTATCAACTGAGGGATAAAGCAACATCTCAGTTAAAACAGAATTTCAGCCTCAGCGTAAAAATGAAGAGGAAAAGTGAATCAATGCTGTTTCTTAGCACAAAGAACTATCAGATCCAAAACAAATCACACGTTTCACCTTCAGCAGAAAAAACAACATACCAGCTTGGCTGTTTGATCCCATGAACCAGACACCACTAGCTGCTCTCCTCTAGTTTGGCTCCAGTCAACACTATACGCCTATAAATGATATAACAGCCTAGTTTAGAAATAGCATTAGAATACAAGTTTGAGACTCTAGTTAGCCATAGCTTCATGAAATAGACCTGAATTTGCAGATGTATCATAATCAGCTAAAAACCCACACAAGTAGCACAAAGCTGCCAACAATGCCATTTACCTGAACAAAAATTAAATTTAACATCTCAGTCTGGCATTAAAGGTACATATAAGCTTAGAAAAGTACCCAAAAAAGTAAAGATGGGCCAAAATGGAGGGGGGGGTTGGAACAAAATCCACATAGACCTACCATCAGTAGAAGTTTCTGCCACTGTAAAAAGCCATAATTCAGACTCTTTTCTTATCTCTGATCCAATTTTACTGAAATATCTACAGTTTCTAATTGCTAGCAACGTAAATGCCATCTCTCTTCAGAGCTGACTATGGACTTGACTTTGAGGTTTTAGCTGACTAACAACAAAAGCTTTTTATGATCTCTAAATTCAAAAGAAATACATGCCATAAAATACTGATTTTCATCTTTTCCAGGTTCTATGACACCTTTTTTACCATTCATATCCTCAAACAAATAAAATAAAATTAAAAACTCAATTTCCTTCATGACTAATTATTTCAGCTATTAAGAAATTGCTTTTCACTGTGTAGCTGAAATAAGCTCCCTCTTCTCTGACAGTTTATTCTAATATTGGTCCCTGCCTTGACAGAGGATACCTTAATTCCATCCTTCACTGCCGATTCTTCAGCTCTGCTGCCTCAGAGAAAACAAATGCTCTAAGGTAGTTCTTCAAATCTTCAAATCAAGTGTCTCAAGAACATGTACAACTTCCATTTTCAAACGCACCATATCTTCATCTACACAATGGAGGGTGCATTCTATTCTGTCTAGTTTTACCTCACACCAAAATGGCTCAATAAGCTGCAGTGGGAAATGAACCATTTCAGTGGTAAGGTGGATACATATTAGCTGAAACAGTTTATTTGCTTCACCTCCTGACCCAGTCAGACCTTTCATGACACTTCTCAGAAACATGGCCAGTACCTACCAATAGTCAGTGGCACTGCTCTCAACAGTCAGGCCACTAACCACCGAGGATTGGTACTCCAGCTGGGACAATCTAGTTCTAGCACAGCAGCGGGTCTAACCTGCAAGTCAACATACTAGATGCTGTGTTTGTCTTGGATAGATGGAATTGTGCATTAAATGACAGCGACCCTGTTTTGAAGGTGAAAATGTTTGGACCTGTGTCACCAGACAAAAAAAAGCAGAGAAACTGGACTGAAAAAAAAAAACCAGCAAAAGCCTAAGTCTTCTATGGAAAGTGTCCTGTATGAGAAAGGAGATCGAGGTATCATTTAGCTACTTCTGAGCATCTTCCTTCCTATGAAATATTTCAATCTATGCTAGATCCAGCTTAAAGTAACTGTTTTTCCTCTATTTGCTTATTTCCCGTAAGTGGAAGGCAACCATGGCCCACAGAAAAACAAAGTGCGTTATCTGCAACTTTCCTTTTTTATTTTACAATGTCCTGCTCCCCATACACTGAAAGGCATATTGCTCTAGCACCATATTGTGCTAGCTCCCTTCCTTGAGGAGCTTATACTCCAAATGTACAAGCCACTCAGACAGTACTTGAGAAAAGCCAAATAACAGAGAGCTAGTTCTTTTGTTTGTTTTTCCAAGCCGAGCCTTTAGCTCTTGGCTTTTCTACTTTTGTCAGCTAACTACCAGTACTACAGCTCATGAAAACACCCTCCCTTTCAACCTGACTCCTTCCATTAAAATAACAACAAAGGAGACACACAAGTACCTGCTCATATTTTAAGAATGGAAGACATCATGGTTCTCCAAAGTGGCTCCTGAGCTCCTCACAAACATTAGCCTCTCTCCTTCCGCCTGAATCTGTGTGATGGCCTGTGTTCAACTCCGAAGCTGCTGCTGTTTGGAAATGCCTCTAAATGTATCACTACATAGTATGCCTTTCACACAACAGCCCTATGAAGTGCTTGGCTCTCAGATGCATGTCCAAGATTTTCCAGAAAGAAATAAATCTGAAGAATATGCACCTGTGTCACACAATTCACCTAGCCCCACATACTTGGAATGTATCAGATCTCCTGCACAGATAAGGCAAAGTGCACATACGGCTTACAGCTCACTCACAAGCTATCAGCACATCGATCTGTCGAACACGTGTTGTGACACAGCTCAGCGTATGTATGGCAGACATGGTTGGGACTGCCCAGCACTCTGCAGCTGCATCGGAGGCAATGGGAGCCGGACAAATTCTCCTTCGGGCGAGAATTATAAACAGAATAGACAACAGGCTCAGAAAAAGCAAGAACTATTTTCCATTTGGCATGTGACAGGTCCAAATAGTGGGAAGAGAATGAAAAGAAGGTGGTGTGGAGAACCAAGTAAGATTCGCTTTTATTCTTCTTTCATTTTCATGCTATCATCCAACATAAATTTACAGACACTTCAATAGAAGCTGCGTTGAGCAACTGGGAAAGACTAATAACGCAGCATAAACATTAGCTGTTAATCTTTTAGTGCTTTATCTTCAATCACAAAATACATTAATACTAGTTTATGCCTAAACAGAAGCAAGAAATGCCTCAGGCAAAGATGAAAAGATGATGAAAGACAGATGTAAAAACATAAAACCAGTTCAAAATAAATGGTCAGGCTCACTTTACAAGACAAATTTAGTTCAAGCATTCTATTGTCTCACATTCCAGTCAGACTTCATCAAAACCAAAGTAAATTAGACTAATTTATTCATGAGATTCAGCAGTTGGTTAGTGCTGGAATAAAACTCATTGTCCTTTGATAATAAAGATGCACTTTTAAATTAAAAATGCACATTCTTTTCAAGGAAGGACAATGATCTTATTTCAAAAACAAGAAAAGATCCCTGTCAATCTTGCATTAGAAATACTATAAAATGCAGTGACAAAATTGTCATTAGAAATGTCAGACAGGGATTAAGGATTAGGAAGGTAGTCAATCATTTCAAAGAGCACTGTCTGCCAGTGTTTACCACAAACTATTAGGTACATTCCCTCTGAGATCTAACCTCTTAGTGCACATTTCTAAAGAATCAATACAAACCTTTCATATCTCACAATAAACACTCTGCCCATGTTTCCTGTACTGTCTTTCTAACTCATGGTTGAATGCATCCACCTCCCCATGCTACCTGCTAAACTAAGACTTGGACACAGAAATGTTTACTTTACAAACAACAGATGGTGTAGCAGAACCAAAATAAACTTATGGACAGAATTTCAATGAGAAAATGACAGAGGAAAAAAAAAAAAGGTATTATGCTTTGCATACATCTTTCTGTTACTACCAACAGCCTTTGAACACTATCATAAAATCTTGATCACAACTACAAACTCACCTCTCAAAATTCTTTATTTACATAGCATATGTATTAAACCAAAGTAGCAAAATTACAAAGAAATAAGGTACACAAGACAGACTGTCATGTAACTGCAGTCACTCAGCTTTTAGCTTTGTGTTTCATATCTGAAAACATCTTGAGGTCTTTGTGAATACAAAACTGGATTTCCTCCATCATTTTTTATTGACTACATATCCACTAGGTTATTTTATTCAGATTTACATCATTTAGATAAAGCATCAGTAATCCAGACTAAAACTGATTGCATCTGAAGTTCAAAGACTTGACAGAAGTGAATGGAGAGTTAGAAGGAAAGCATAAAAAAAAAAGGTAGAAAAAGCACTTGGAAGAAGAGAAATATACTAAAATATAAATGCCCTTAAAAACATGCAAATACATTTATGAACATGAATATAACATTTCTCCCTACCCATATTGCACTGCATAAAGAAACTGAGATTTTAAGACAATCAAATGCAACGGTATGAAACCAAGGCTAAAAAAAATACATGCTGTCCCAATATTTGACTACTGTTATTTGAGCAGGATCATACAGATGCTAGGATGGAAAAGGACAACCAGCTCCCAGGTACAACAGAAGTCCTAAGGATCTGCATAATGTGTATCGCTCCATATCCTCAAGGATAACACTGCTATATGCATCATCTGTCTGTTTTAAACCTATCCAATAATGCTCTCTAAAAATCACAGGATGACTGCAGTACCTTCATACAACACAATGATTACTTAGCCTATAAGAAACCACAAACGCTATTTCTGAATATACTAAATCTATGTAATTAAGCAGTACCTACTACAGCATATGAATGCATTGTACATACAAATATGTACAACAGGTAATTCACTTTATATTCAAAATACTGTTAAGCTATAAATTCAAACCACAGACCCAAACAAAGTTAAAAAAATAGACAACAAACCCCACTTTTGATTGTAAGTCCACAAATAAACCTTTTAATAACTCAAACATTAGAGCATCCATTAAATTTTTCCAGTTTGCCCGGTTTACCTCCTGAGTGTGCTCTTTATAGACTTGCAGTGGACCTTTGGTTTTAGCTGTATCCCAGATTTGCAGAGATCCATCTCCACTAGAAGTGATCAACACATGTTCATTATTCTCACTCCAGGTCACATCAAACAGGCCATCATTCCAGTCAAAACTAAATCAGAACAATGAAGATATTTGTCCGTGAGAAAGCACAACATAAAAATCTGGACTAGTTACATGCAAAGACAGTATTTCTTTAAATCACCTTCTTTACCATTCTAAACACTATTTTTATATATTTGAGTTTCCAATAAGTGTCCTTACAAGTAACTTACTTGTTATAAGGTCCACTTTGACAAGTGTATGCTAGAATAGGTTGATTAAGTTAAAGCATAAATGAGCCAAGGACCTTCCACACACAGAGAATGAAATCTGACTTCAGTCTTAAATTTGCCAGGCAAACAGAGACAGAGGTACTCCATGTCTCAGTCAGATCTACAGTTTCTCCAGGATGTTGCTACAGAAGTTGTCTGTAACAACTGTGGTAAACAAAGAAATAAAACTGTTTGTGTTGGGAGAGCTCTAGCCAATTGACAACACCATTAGGAAGCTGAGCCACAATGAAAAACCAACAGAAAGACAGTCAGGAACATATTAAAGATCTCTACACTCCCTTAAAAGGGCTTTCAACACACCAACAATTCATCATATGGGATCTGATACCATATATTAGTTGTTCTGCAACAACTATCAATGATCCTGCTGTTATCTGATGGTGAATATGAATTTAGTTACCCCCTTTTCACTGAAGGTTCAGCTAAGCTCAGGTTAAACTTCATGGCACCCTGCAGTAATGATGAGGAAAAGGCAAGCACACAGAACATAGAGAAACCGACACAGCTTATAGCTTAGGAGGTTACAGGACCTTCTACCACAAAGTAAGTGGAGTCACTGGAAGCACAGAAATCAACAGTACTAAACCAGAGCGCTTAGCAGAACAGAGTGTTGAACAGCTTCAAAGAGTCTTGCTTTATAACTATGAATTAAAAACAGTTTCTCTGAGTATGATTAACCATTTGTTGAGCATTTCTATTTCAGCCCTCTTAATCTAAACAATTGCTGTTTCAAAACTTTCTTTAAAAAAATTTTAGGCCAATGATGGTCAAGTATTAAAGCCCTTCCTTCCTAACCTTTCTCCTCCTCCCATCCAGAACACAAATCAACCTCCTCTCAAACCCTTAGAATAGTGGATCCCCTAGGAAGGACCTCCATGACTTTACACAGCTTCCTGCTCTATTTTCAGTATAAGTCAATCATAAGGGCATAAATTCAGGTGGCAACGCACTGTTCCTAAAAAGCTAAAACTTTTAATTTCAGGCTAGGGCAGAGAGGCTGCTTTTAATTTACATTGTCAGTTTTCTATAAAATGGTTTACACTACGGAAAGGGTGCAATCCAGATTACTTCCTATAACAAAATCTATGCAATGTAAACCTATCGTTTGTATGTAAATACAAAGACACGTATTCAGTAGATACTATAGTATGGATACAATACTTTTTATCGCTAACAATAACCCAAAATATTTGGGTTGTGTCTTGTACTCACAGGTACATAGTAAGTTTTTCTCTTGCAAAAATAAACAATAAACCTATGTTACCTCTTGAGCAGAACAATCCCAGCTTCATTTTGTTCCAGCACTGCCAGAGTTCCACAACCTAAACCAGCAAAATAAAACCAAACATCACAACTAGTTCCCCCACGCCAAAGGACACTACCGTGGTTCCGAGGTAGCTCCAGTGTGCAAATACAAAGGGCACCTGCACTTTAAGAGGCCAAAAAATTAGTTGCATAAATAAGCATCTTGTTGTCTCATGTTCTCTAAAACAGTAATTAATTTACATCAGATTAAAAAAAAAAAAGTCAAAACCCAAAATTAATCCAATACACCTGTAGGTGAAGTTGGAAAAAGCAACAACTTGCTTATAAAGCACAAAAGCACGTTTTCCCCATGATCCTCACATTACAGACATACCAGCACGGGGTTCTTTTTTGTCTTTTTGACGACACAGCAGAGGTAACAGTCTCCCCCCCTGCGACCTGGTAATGCAAACACTGCTCACCAGAAATGAAACAAATAATTCAGTACCGAAAAAACACAGGTGGGTACTGCTTTCCCATGTGACTGGGATATTGTCAAAGTAATTCCTCATTTAGAACCTTTATTCAAAATGAATGCTTTCAGGGGCAATACTCCCACTGGACGTGGAAAGGTCCCCATGCTGCGAAAAGCTCTGCTTGCATCTTCAGCGGGACCCTGGAGTCGCCAGGGCCTGCCTGGACACCCAGTGACCGAGACTGGAACAGTATTTTAAGGAGAAAATATTCTCAGACGTGTCATCCACACTGCGCACGTCTCTACTGCCGTATTTACCCTCGACCCTATACAATTCGTACTCCTCTGAGAGGCCCTCGTGAAAACCACCACCAAAAGAGGGGGGTTGCATTTCCCTAAGCCGGAGGACCCGGCAGGGCGGGGACCTCAGAGGCAAGCACCAGGCTCGCCGTCCGCTCCGAAACTAACCCCAGCCCGGGCACGGAAAATACACCTTGTACCCAAGCAAAAAAAAAACCAAAAGCAAGGGAAAGGCAAAACCCCAAGACGCTG